AATTTACAAAATGAAAAGTGAGTGAACAGAGGCAAAATCTAAATCAAATCAATATTTGGTGTGACAACCCTTTGGCTTCAAACAAGCATCAATTCTTACACTTGCACACTTTGTACACTTGCACAAAGTCAGGAAATTTGTAGGATTAGAATCAGGTATATGATTAGATAGTGTGGTTGTTTCAAGGAGCACAATACGACGATACTTGAACAAAAATGTGCTGCATGGTTGAGTTGCCAGAAGGAATCATTTACTAAGACAATGCCACAACAAAGCCCAGTTACAATATGCCCAACAAGACCTTGACACACCTCACAGCATCTAGCACACTGTAATCTGGAGTGACGATACCAAAATAGAACTTAATGGTCACAGCAATAAACACTATGTTTGGAGAGAGGTCAACAAGTCCTATAGCTAAAAGCCATCCCCACTGTGAAGCATGGTGGTGGCTCACTGATGTTTTGGGGTTGTGTGAGCTCTAAAGGCACAGAGAATCTTGTGAAAATTGATGGCAAGATGAATGCAGCATGTTATCAGAAAATACATGGAGACAATTTGCATTCTTCTGCATGAAAGCTGCGCATAGGATGCTCTTAGACCTTCCAGCATGACAATGACCCTAAGCACAAGGCCAAGTTGATCCTCCAGTGGTTACAGCAGAAAAACGTGAAGGTTCTGGAGTGGCCATCACAGTCTCCTGATCTTAATATCATCGCGCTACTCTGGGGGAGATCTCAAACGTGTGTTTCATGCAAAACAAAGTCTTTCTTTTTTATATTTTATAAAGAATCTATAAAGTGATTTAATTATCTTTAATGATTTAATTATCATGTGTATATGAGATTCTGCTCCCTGTACCAGGACAAATAAATAATTTTTTAATGTGAATTAGGAAAAAAATTGACACTTTCAAAGGAATATTCTAGAACACCACTGTGCTGGTGAAGAACTGCATTCCAAAATTAGCTCGGAATTTGATGGATTCTCCCACAGGAAGTGAATGAGACTAAGCAACAGGATGGAAATGTACACACTTATAGCATACTCCTGGGGCGCTGCAAGAAAAGCTACACAACATTTCCGTATCTACAGCTAAAATAAAGAAGTGTGTAGGAATAGCAAGAAACCCCCACAGACAAAAATAACCCAGTCTGATATCTCCTTCTCAGGAACACTGGAAACCGCTGACTGACACTTTACATAACCAAAGGATTAAAGATGAAGTGACAGGCTTTGGTCTTGTAATTTGACAAAGACTCAGTGCCAGGGTTAAAGAAGCATATAGAAGCCAAGAAAAAAAAAAAAAAAGAAAAAGAGAAAACATCTCCCTTCCCCACTGGATTCTCTATACTGCATTTTTCTCATGTGAGCTCTGCCACAATGAACGGTGTCAGGGATCCCAGTATGACCAGAGATGTGTGGACTGACACAGGGAAGTAGCAGGCTTCAGGAACACAGGCGTAGTCAGGGCTGAAGAGGTGGAATGGTCAGGCGGGGCATAAGGTACTGTCAGGCACCGCCCGGCGGGATTTCTAGTGACCCACAGAACAGGATTCGCCAGGGCGCGGAGTCTAAGCCCCAGTCTGCCTTTTCACCAGAGCCCGATGGTGGGGATGGACTTGGCGCAGGACTGAGACCAGGTCACGGCCCCTGAGTGCGTCCAACTGTGGTAGAGGGGTCCGCCGAGGGTATGTACCAGGGGAAAGCCTGATGTGAAGGGGCTGGCAGGTTTGGACAGTAGTGACTGGATCCGTGCATGGATGGATTGTCTGGGTAGCGTCAGGCGTAGTCAGGCAGGCCAGGTCGGCAACGTGCGGACAGTGAGGTACCGGAGGAGCAGGCAGAGAATAGTCAGGGTCACGAGCCGGGTTCAGTAACTCACGGGCAGCACGGTACAGAGGATCAGGCAGAAGGATGGTCAGGCAAGCCAGGGGTTAAACAGGAGACGGTCAGCAGGGTCGGCAACAAATCAGATAGGCAGAGGAACAGGAACACAGGGTACAGGGGCTCATGGGAAACAACACCAAGGCACTGACTGTAGGTCTGGCCATTCCTTAAATACACCTCCTGCAATCAGCCTCAGGTGATGGCTGCCTGCAGGAGTGAGCTTCTGATTGCTGAGAGCACCCGCTGGTCAGCCCTGGTACTGCAGCCCACATGGCAGGTGAGTCCCACCACCAGTGCTGAGTCCGTTCCTGACAAACGGGCTGCATGTAATGAGATTCCACTGCAGCTCATGCACTATTGGCTTGCCTCTGCGTGACTTGCTATTTGCACCAGAGTGAAATTACTTTCTTCAGCTCACCCTTTCTCTCCTCTGTGAATCATGTTGCATGATGCAATTTTACTGAGCTGGTTGGTGCGCCATCTAGGCAATAAATTACAAATCTGTACAATTAATACAATAAATATACTGTATGTAGGAACAAGCATGCAAAATGTGATATGTCATTAAAATAACAAATAAAACTTAAAACATGTGTTTGCTGAAATGATACTATATTTTACCTTTAGCTGGAACTGAATAATAACCATCTTTACACGAAAAACCTTTATGTATTAACATAGAGGGAAAAAAAATCAACAATATGAAGCTAGGAATAACAGCCAAGCAGATTTTATCAGGCTAATTTACTCAGCCTTTGGAAAGAGGACTTTGGATTGGTAGGTGCAAAGTTCAGCTTTGGGCATTTACTAAATTGTTAAAATGCCAAGCTAATAAAGAATTAAATGTTCATGCTGCCTAGGGCAGTAGTCTTCAAACTGTGGCCATTTGCTTGCCTTTATCTAGCCCTTGGGGCACTATTCCTACCATTGACACAGGGTACCATACTTCCCAAGGAAACCATTACGGACGTACTATTCCTCTCACTGATACCAACAATGAGGGAACTATTCTTTTCACTGGCACCAATAATGGAGATAACTATTCCTCCCACTGGCACCAACAATAGGGGAACTATTCCTCCTACTGACACCAACAAGGGGGCACTATTCCTCCCACTGGCACCAACAATAGGGGAACTATTCATCTTACTGACACCAACAATGGGGCACTATTCTTCCCACTTACACCAAACAATGGGGAAATATTCATCTGACTGACACCAACAACGGGGCACTATTCCTCCCACTGACACCCACAATTGGGCACTATTCCTCATCTTATTGTTCATGCAATTTTGTAATTTCTTTTTTCAACTCCCATGAACCACCAAGCCTAAGGCATGGTTTACTCCCATTAGCCTTGGGGCATTTGCTACTCCCAATGGCCACAGCCCCCCCTCCTAAAGTTTGAAGGGCAGTAAAATGGTCCTTTGTTTAAAAAGTTTGGAGACCTCAGGTCTAGATGACATAAAACAGGTAAATAATTACCCTTATCCAGGGTCTTATGGTCTTCCTCCCTACCCGTTCTGGTGGCTAATGGTCCCCCAAAGCCATTATTTTTGCTGGTCTCCAACTGCTCTGGTTGCCGCCCCTTTTGCGGATGTTCTCACAAACAAATCAGAGCCAGCAGCCACCACTAGACCCGAATAATATGTGACAACATAAGAACGCTTGTGCATATTCCAGCACTGAAGAGAAGGGGTGCACCAGCTACAGTAGAACCCTGAATTAAAGTAAGTATTCCTCTGTTAAATCATTCCCAGGACAAAGCAGGTATTAAACTCATATTTAGCTGGGGATGATGGGCGGAAGAGGGGTGGAGGCATTCTAATAATTTGGAGAAAGCCTGATGCCTAGCTTTAAAGTGGCCTCATCTTTCAGAAATTATTAATAAAGGTCATAAAGCATGTATTAAGAGCATTAACAAAGCACTGTACATGGCCATTAGTTCTACTCTGGGTAAATCACCTTTCAATTATGATTCCCTCTCTCCCCCCCCCCCCCCCCAAAAGGTCTGTCTAAATCAAAACTATGGACTTTCAACAGTGTCTAATGATATGAAACACCCACAATGATCTTGGCATATGCTGTACATAATGGCAGCTTGGCGACACTATTTTTACTCATGGCAAGAAAGAGGAGCTTTTTAAATTTACAATATGTGATTTAGCCACATATGCTGACGAGCGTTCTATGAAGTCATGTGAAGTATAAATGAGTTTTAAATCAAGGATCTACTTTAAAAAGAAAAGAATACTCCCAATTCATATTAACCTTCACTACGTTTGCTACTAATAACTGTGAGATACCACTGTGGGGGTGTGATAAGCATTTGCCGTTTTATAAAATGAAAGGTGGACCTATGCTTGGTTTCTTAGATGACCTGCGTCACTAGGATTGTAAAGGGATTAGGCAGTAATGAGTGTGGGGATTAATCCAAATTTATATTGAACAATGTATCAGTGTTAGTGTGCCTTTCTTGGATTCGCCTATTGTTCTGAGGAGCCAAGTCCAGACACATAAAAGTATCATTATATAAAAAACTGTCTAAAGGAAAAAGTTAAATTAAAGCTGAAGTTTAATCTGCTTATATTTTGCCTTCTCTAGTTTCTTCACCCTCTTCATCAGAATTTAATGCAACTAGTAAATGAAATCAGTTTTTTTTTTTTTTAAGTACATACCTTATTTCAGTCTCAATGACACTATCACTGGGTCTCTGTACTTCTGTCCACAATGTAGGCATATCATGGCAAATGGGAGAGACCAGCAAGCTGCTGTACACAGCTTTCTGAAAACATCATAGCACCTCTTTGAGGAGCCCTCAACCCTGATGCAAGCAGTGTGTTGGCACTTGGGCAGGGGTGGACTGACATCTCAGGGGGCCCCCGGGCAATAGGAGATCATGGGGCCCCTGTGTCCTTGCCCAAACTCGAAAAAGGTACCAGGGGCATCTCATGGGGCCCCCTACTGACCTCGGGCAGTGCCCAAGTTTCCAAATGGTCAGTCCGCCCCTGCTCTTAGGATGCATATATCAAATGTTTTGGTTGGTAGATGCCAGTCTGGAGGACAGGATGTTCCTAGGAAAGCTGCATTTGCATAAAGAGTGTCTGCCCTACAAAACGCTCACATTTGATGCTGACCTTCCATGAATGAAACAACTGAAATCCAATCAAATAAAAGGGGTGGGCCAGGAACAGTTAGGCTGGGGAGGAAAGGGCTAGATCAGGCCATTTCATGTGGCCCTCACCCCCTTTCTGCAGCACCTCCCTCGTCTCTGCCCGACCTTGTTTAAGCAGTCAGCAGCAGAGAGGAGGACAGAACTCCTTCTCTTTGCAGCTGCAGCACCACCTCTCCTGGTCTCAGCAGACTTCAGCAGCTGACTCTAGACCTCCTCTGGTCCTTCTCCAGACCCTGCAATTTCTGCTTCCCAAATCCACCCCCAGCTTTTTCCCAGCAGAAGCACAAGGTGGGGGTGCACTGTGATGTAAGGGAGTATAGGAGACTTGACTTCTGATGGTGGGGAGCTCTTGACATCTGATCTAATGGGGGGTAGGGTGCTCTGGACATCTAGACTTACAGATACAACTGGCTCTTTAAGGGCAACCACAATACTGATGTGGCCTACTATGTAACTGAGTTTGACACCCATGGGCTAGTTGTTGCAGGATACCCTCCAGCTAAGGAATATGGTGGGCTCTATCTGGATTGCTGTGGATTCAAGTGCACCGAGTGAAATCAAAGTAAGCATTTTCTGTACAGAAGAGGAGCCTGTACAACTGTGCAAGACTGACGATAAGCCTGGAGTATAGATTTACAGAGATTCTGTCATCAGGAAAAGATAGGCAAACTGCTGCAGGTATGAAACACACGCATGTAGATGTACACATACCGGCAGCAGCCTCCCAAAGCTTCTGGTCAGGGCTGAATCACTTTAATTCTTCATGACAGTGCCAAAACTTGCCTACCTCTTCCTGCCTCCCTCATTATCCACAGCCTCTTTGGGGTCAGATTTGCACAATGCTGTATTAACACAATGCAGTGATTTTGTGTGTTAGCGCACTGCATTAAGGCAGCACATTTATTTGGAATTGGAACTTCAAAACATGAAAAACATGTCGATCAGGAAAATCAACATCTGTACAACCAGTCTGCCCATACATGGATCGAAATTCAGCTAGTCCCTGCTGAACCAGACGAATTTCAATCCAAGTATGGCCGCCTTTACTTCAATACGAAGGGCTTGCTGACCCGCCATCCTACAGCATTAGAGGGCATCGAGCCAGCGCTGGCAATTGAGGAACCAGGCAGCTACGGAGAGAGCGGGAGCTGGAGAGAGCTGGAGCTGCATAAGCGGATGCTTCCTCTTTAGCGCTGGCTCCTGTCCCAGGCAGAGTGATACCAAGTACACTTCGCTTGGAACCTTTATAGCAGCCTGGAGAGCGATGTCAGCAGCAGCTGCAAGAGGAGAAGTCAGTGTATTAAACACCACATACACTGGGTTTAATGGCTTTTGTAATGGGCATACAGCACCTATAAAAGGGTTCAAACTGAGGCACGGGTGCAGCGCTGTGCTCCTGTGGCTTTCCTGCAGGTTAGCTGCACTGAGCCATAGACTTCTATTATATCCTGCGTATTTGGTGCACTTTCAGACAGGGCGTAATTGTCAGCGGATCCGCCTGCTCAGCGGAGGATCTCTTCGCCGATCCCTGCTGAGCAGGTGGATGACAGGTCTGTGTCCGCTCTGCTGCTAAGCAGACACAGACACTGCCCGCTGTATTCTGTGGGGCAGTCAGATGGAAATGGACCTGTCCGTTTCCATCAGACTGCCATCCGATCTACTAGACGGATGTGGAACGGATCCCCATCCATCTGTTTTTGGCATACATGATCAGATCGGATGCCAGTGGGTGTCTGCTGAAACAATTGTCTGCTGAAACCTGCTGGTTCATAGAGGTCTAGGGATGGTCCGATCGGGTCCGCCTGAAAAACTGACAGGCGAAACCAATTGAATCATAAGTGTGAAAGAGGCCTAAAGAGTAACTCCACTTTTGTTGAGAAAAAAAAGCATTCCTCTCTGGGTGTTCTATATACATTGCAAGGATTTAAGAAACCTTGATGCAGATTTCTACCATTTGTTATTCTGAAAAAATAGCTGTTTGCTGTGTCCATGTGCAGAGTGAATCTGTATGGGAATGAGTTCATAATTCTCAATAAGCTGCTGCACTTGCCAGGCTCTAATGAGGAAAGTGGCAGGGTCTGCTTCCCTTTAGATGGGATTTCCCAAAAGCAGTATCTCACCAAAAAGAATATTTTTTTTTGCAGGTGATGCCCAAAATTTGACTTGTAGCTTAGTGAGGAAAATCAGTGATCCAATCACACAAGCAGGGAATGACATTTCTGGGGGGCGTTCTGCACACCATCTGTGTACAGAATGCCTCGGGGTTGCCATATTGCATTGCATTTACAAAAAATTACAGTGCTGCAGATCAAAAAAGAAAAGGTCATTTTTAAGAACACATTCAATTACAATATGACTTGTGTCGCATTTGTATACACTAAGCGTACCCTTTAACAAACTAAATGTCATCTACTTCGTGTTTAGAGCTACTGTAAGACCCACATTATAGACGCAACTCTTTAGAATATGTTTTTGAAGCTATATGTCTTCATTAGGGAGTTCTTCTCATTCCCTGTCAGGGTCTCTGATCTTTCGGCATATTAAAAGATTTGTATTTTGGAAACCTCACAAATGGACTACCATATGAAAGTGCTGAAGTATGCCAAAAGAATTCTGCTGAACGAGTGGAAATTTTGCACTGTGTTGGATACTGGGACAAAATATTCTAGTCATGCCAGCATCTCATGAGCAACTGAGTAATGGAAGATCTTAGTAATACTTACAGCTTGCAGAATTCCCACAGCATCTTGAGAGAGCCATGCTGGATAGGCAACTTCATCATTCAGAATAGCTTCAAACAGATCATCTTCATTCTCCGCTTCAAAAGGGGCATGGCCACAAAGCATCTCATAGAGAAGAACACCCATTGCCCACCAGTCCACCAAAGGTCCATACTGCATTTCCTGTAGAATCTGCATCAAACAGAACACAGCAATCAGCATTATAGTTATGTTCAGAGGTATCATTAAAAGACAGACTTTGGTGCAAAAATGAAAAAGAAAAAAACAGAGTTGCTTGACTGCAAAATAAGAAGGAAGAACAGTCATGGTTGGGTCTTCGGGCTTCTGGGCCTAAATTAAACTTCTTCTTTGCCCCATCCATGGTTATACTGCAGGTTACATCTTGCAAAGTTTGTGTTACAATGTATCTAAGGTCAAAACTTTTTCTAGTTTAAGCTGGATAGGAAACATTAAAGCCAGTCGGGTCAAGCAGAACAGAAAAGAGGATGTTCTCAGTTTTACTGGTCGTGACAGTGAGATTGGTACCCTCCAATGCTTAAAGTGGACCTAGTATCACATATGTTTTAGTGTTAAGGAGAAGTATAGCCAAAGCTATTTTGGCTGTACTTCTATGGATCACAAGAGTGCAGTGTGTTCTGTGCTCCTGTGACCCATTTTCAGCTGACAGAGGGCTAAAGCCCTCTGTTGGCTGATGTCACAGAGCAAGTCCAGGCTCTGAAAAGATCCTGACCATATGGTCGGGATCCACCCAGATGCCAAGACCAGCAACTGATTCAGCCTCTCAGCAAGCTGCCGAGAGCCTGAGCCACCCACTCCCTCCCCTTCCATAGCCCAGCACTGGAGTTGCAGAGCAAAGAACCGGTGACTTTCATTCACTGGCTCTCTACTCAGTGAAGGCTGAGAACTGAGCGATCAGCGTTCTTTGATTGCTCAGTTCTTAGTACAGCACTGGAAGGGGACAGATGCTGCGTCGGATCAATGCTTCATGCACAATAGGGGAGTATAATTTTTTTTGAATGTCATGTATAACTAGCATATATGGGTATTTATTACATCTGACAGAGATCACAGAACTCCCCCTGACAATGCCTTCATCTATTTTTTTTTTTTCAGAAGGACAGAGACTTTTTCCCATCATCCAGGGTCAGCATACAGTATATTCTCTGAAAAGAGATCCTGGCTCAGAAGTGAATCAATTAAATCCGGGTATCTGTGCAGTTCCTGTCAGTGTTCACAAAAGTCAGAAACAGATCAGTCCTTGCTGCAGTCTGTTGCCTTGTGATTTGCAGCTACAAAAAGTTACAAAATTGCAGTCTGATCACTGAGGAAGAGGAGACTGAGAAAAAGCTTCCTGCCACCTGCAGCAGACTGATTGTATCATCCTAGCCTAGACATAGTCGCTTGCTGGAGCTCAAAAACTGTTTTTAAATAATACAAAGTACAGCCTTATTTATAATTATATTGTTTTGCTATATATTGCGACATGTCAGAAGTAACATGTAACATTACTATAAGGTCCACTATAATCCTTGACCTGGAGGATACAGATACTCATTCATTGGAGTTCTGTGCCCATTTACTGTTCTCTCCTGCTGGTTTTATCATTCACTGAGGCCAGTAAAATCTTGCAGAAATTAATTTAGGGTCCTATTCTGAACAGGACACCTTTCGATGGTGTTCAGTGTTGGAAGGGAACAGAACAGCTATTAATAAATACACTACATCTGAATTCATGTTCCTGCAACTATATAAGACGAATAGGCCACAACATATTACTGTAGGTGCATTACAAATATACAAATAGTAGTCAGATATAGTGATATACCAGTCACTACAAAACAACCAGATGGCATAAAAAACTGGCCAGCAGCGCATAACCCCCAAGTAATTGTTAAGCTAATCGGGAGCATTTTTAGAATATACCAAGTGTGGTGGATAGGATCCTATTGCTATAAAATCAAGGGACTGCGAGAGCTACTGAAAATAGAATACCAAATGAACAGTGAAAGGGAAATGTATGTAACAATGTAGCAAACAATTCAAAGACGGTTGTAAAAGATACAAAGTAGAACCCGAGACTGTAAACAATGAGGCAGGAAACCCAATTAATAGTCATTGTGTGTTAATTCGATGGTGGAGCTTGAAGCAGTCATGGGTGATAGTTATTAGGCTCCATGTACACTAGGAGCAGAAAAAACACTCAATATGAGATTTTTTCCAGCGTTTATCCCTTTTGTGTGCTGGTGTTTAGCAGTTTAGCTTGTTGTTAAGGAGCTGTTCGGC